AACGAACACGCACTTTATCGTTTGTTATCCCACAATCGAGACAGTTCTGTCCACAAGTTCATATTCCCTGAAGGAACCCTTTCCAAGAACATTGCATTTTCATCCTGTAGGACGCTAAGAAAAAAGTGACAAAGTTCGGAAATTTCATCCATCAACTCTTCATCCTGAGAACAGTATGAGGAGAGGAAGGGCAGAATTCATAGGCATGATGAGCGGATCATTTCCTAAATTGTGCTGCATTTGGCACATTTAGGGGAAGATAAACTCCCAAAATATGTTATGTCTCCTATCCATGATACAGACATTGCATCGTCCACGGACAGAAGTTACACCATTACAGACTTCGTCCTGTTGATGGGAACGTCTCCTCAATGAATGGGAATGAATTAATTAGGAAGGAGTACGTGGTACGAAATGACGAATGAAATAATTAAGAAATGGCACGGTTTTCGGTCCCAGCTCAGGGCCAACGAAGCCCATGTTTTTCCTGGTAGCAATGCCAAAATAATCCCAGTTAGGTATTGGTGAAGCTACGTTATCCATCAACATAACAACAATTGGCGTTGAACAGTCATGAAACGCTACGGAAACATCAGAAAACTCATATGTAGGGATCTGCATCATCATTGCAAGGTTCTTTCGCAACATTCGAGCAACGTTGACGTTTTAGACATTTAAATATAAAATACGTTTTTAAAATATATATTGAAAAATATACACATCCCCCCCCCCCCCAAAAAAAAAAAAAACCGAGCGGTGGAGACTAGTAAAGGAAGTTCTCAGATCCCTCTCTCCAAAGCAGTCTGACCCTTTTTGGCTGCCATCTCAAGTATTCATAATGACCCTGTCTCATTCCATTTCATGCTTGGACACGAATTCAAAGAGAGTCGTCTCGAATGGGCAACAGAGTTCCGGTCGATATCCTCTTTCCAGACAGGGAGACACGACCGCTCATTATTATTCGTTGGAATGAATTATACTGACGTATCTGGCTTTACATCTGTCATACGTGTAAGTACAGTTTCTTTTCCAATATTTTCCATATTTTTTGCCACAATGACACTGTGTACTTTGATTTGACTTTCTGAATCTGACTGAAAATTCAGGTTAAAATGTACATATATATTTCTGTAAGGGCCCAGAGAGACAGAACGCACTAAGACTAAGACGCACTCCGGCAGACATAAACTTGAAATGCAATGTGCAAATATAATGTAGACGCAATTTCAGTCACAACGATATATTATTAAAAAGCGTACTCATTCGGCATAACAACGTCAGGTCATCGTTAAGCGAGGACTGCTTTTTCAACGCAGCAATGTTGCCACAACGGTGTTTTTAAAGGTGGATTCATTGTTGCCGCAATGTTGAAATCAAACATTGTTCAACGTTGAAAATACAACCCCCAGATTTATCGCCCATGAAGGAGTGACTGGTACACCCATTCTCGAAAGAGATATCACAGCCCAAATCATTGGGTGTGCTGTGAAGTGAAATAGGTATTTTCAGCGTGACTCCTCGGACCCCTTGCCCCGAGGTACTTGGAGTCTCCTTCTGCCGAGTTACCTCCTTCAAGGGGTCTATCTAGGAATTCTAAAGCCATCGCTCAAGCTGTAGCTGACCGCGTCGGTTACTGCATGAAAAACACTGGGAACTGTGCTTTCCAGACGTCAGGGTGAGAATCGCTCAATTGGAGGTAAGGCGCCATCTCGCGTCGATTGGTTCAACCTATTATCTGTCGAGACGATGAAGTGAAGGATAACTCCATTTCGAAGCAACATTGAGACTACGATGAAGGAGAATGTGAAAAATGAATACAGCTGGCGCCAGTGCACTCTCACCTCAGATCGACAGGATCAAATGTCAACATTTTTGCGATAAAAATACGAATTCTAACGGTGGAGATCGAGACCTTTCAAAAGGTGCATCACACAAGAATTTAGGCCCAAATTTAACACGAAGGGTCATCCAGATCAGGTGAATTTCAACTCAGAAAAAAAAAATCGAAAATGAGTTTGCACATCTACGAAAAATTAGAAAACGAATGGGTTGTTGACAAAATCGATAGAGAAACCTGGGAGGAGTTCACCGGACAAAATCCGGTCATAGAGACATCTGCAGGTCATTATGTATGTAGACGGAAACACACCCGCGTCCCGCGGGATCGGGTAATTTAATTTAATTTAAATTAAAAAATTTAAATAAACATAAATCATTTCGTGTTGGGGCGATTTCCGAAGTAGACTACCCCCTCACGGGTCATTGCGTCTGCCAGCTGTGCTATCACCTTCTCAGGCATGCGCACTGTACTCGAGTCAGGTTTTCTATAGACCTTCTGGTCTGGTCTTCGCTGTTCCGGCGAGACCCGTCATCGCACTGACACGGTTAGTGGACCTCGATGAGTTTTTTTCCCCAGTTCGGTGTCAAAGGCCAAAGAGTGAGAAAGTCAACCTATTTGTATGAACGATGAGTCGGTCGAGTTTGTAACGGGTGGCGATTACTTTCTCACCCGACTGACCCATCCTCCCCGATTTAGGTTCACTTTCTCATTCCTTCGGCCGGTCATAGAAGGAATGTGGCTCGCGTGATCTCTGTTCAACCTCTCTTCGCTAAGTGTGGGTTCATAGTGAAAACCTAAAAGCGCTGGAGAAACGGTCCGAGTGTCTGGGGAATAAACATCGGGAAAAAACTAATAAACTTTTAATTAAGCAATTAACATTTTATATTGTTGTGCAAGCCCACAGACCGTGAGAATTAGAGACCTCTCCATGATAAGGTGATTCGATTAACTGCGTAATATCTACGTAGATGGCGTTGCTTGTCTGTCCGGGAAGTCGTCCTCTCCTGCTCCTGTATGAGTGAATCCGGTATCAACGGAAAGTAGCACATCCAGTGGCACAGCGAGGGGGGGTCTTCATTCCCATTGTTTCATGCCCCCCCACCCCCCGCCACCGGGAGAGTTATGAAGTTATTAGTTAATTTATCCTTCCTGTAGGGAGAAACCTTTACCCGACACACTGTTATTCCTTATTTCTTCGAAAAAAAAATAGTTGGGGGATGAAATAGTCGTCGATAGTGGGCGTCCAAATTCCAGAAAGTCTATTTATTTCTGCATGTGTCGAAATTCTTGTCGATGCCGGACGATCGACTCGCGGCTGACGGTTTCTCGGTTCCATTTCTTCTTCGATCGTCGAGTGGTTTCCGTTGACGTTCTGGCCGAATTCGGAGTAAAGCCGAACGATCGGTACACGGTTATCGATAGCCAAACGTTCCTCGGTCGTTTTCCTCTCGTCTTTTCAAATCTGAACACCTTTAAATGATCCCCAAAAAGGAATGCAAATTACGTCACAGGAAAAAAGATACCATCGACAAAAAATGTGGGCACTTTTTACTCGATAGAGAATGATCTCTTCTTTCGAAAGGTGTGAACCACGTCTCGATCAAATCTAGCCTTACGAAGTAAATCATTTTCAAAATATGGGCAGGACTCTTGATACACCCTGTAGAAATTGCCTTCTAACTTACACGGTGAGTCTTTAAAAGTAGATTGAAAGTATATTAAATTTGTTTATGGTCTAGCCCATGGCCTACGATGGCATGGCCTTGTGAGAACCATTCATCACCACTTTCGGCCTCTTTCGATTAAAGTATTAGATTAGTGTGAAATTCGCACTTAACACATCCTGTGATCGTCCGTGCACATCAATGGCCGTTTCGTGTTCCTTCACCAGAGACATCACGATCTCGTGTCGTTCCCCCACAAGGGTCGATTTTCCCTCTCCCGTGCTCTTGCATTTACGTGTTTACTCCGTAGGACGAGGAGCAATCGACCGCCACGATCGGATATCACGGGGTACCGTCCATCTGTTTACAGACGTCGTTTGCCGAGGGTATCGACCGTCACGTCGATACCGTCAGAGTGTCGTAACACGTGCAATAAATCTGGATATTTTTCGATTATTCCTTGCATATAAATAAGAAGGATCGACTCGAGGTGCCCATTTATCTGTACCGTGGCGGGAAAAAATGCCAATCTGCAGGCACTCCCAGTTCCTCGTGGTGCCAAGCAACGTTTGCTAAATCGTTCCGGGTTTCATCCTCGTAATGCCTGCGGAATGGCATTTTTTTGCAACTTCCCATGGCAAGGGCCCGTGTGACGGATTAGGAGGAACAACGAAACGACTTTCCACGAAGACGAGTCTGCAGAGACCGACGAGCGATCGCAGAACATCCACTCTTCGGCTGTATACTCGGGCAACTGAAGATATTGCTGCGATTACCTTCGTCTTCTGCCAGAGGGAAGAACGACCCGCTCACGCAGATGATAGAGCAAATTTAATATACGCTTCGAGAGCGGTTTCACGCGGCAGTACCGGTAGCAGGTACTCAAACGTTATACGCTTTTCTAGCGTCCGACCGACCGAGTACCCACTCGTGAAAGTACAACGCACGGCAGAAAATGGAAAGGATATTAACGTTCCGAAGGCGCAAGACACGGTACATGCTCTGCGAATCGAATTACCGCTAATTAGAAACGATTAGGACAGATCATTGGTGATAAGTGAAGCGCAGGTACGAGCCCAAGGCTCTCATGTCATACCTGCGCACGTTATGAAGGTCATGCAAAATCCTCATCTCTGTTGATAGTCAAAAACCCAAAATGAACTTTGCAATATACATAAATGAAGTCTTGCCTGACGATGACTTAGAATTACAGCGAAATCGAATGTGGAATATAACCTATTCGATGATACCATATTCACGTCTTCGTCTTCATTAGTAACGGAGTTATGACGATCTTGTGATCCTTGGGCCCAAAGTGCCCCAAAATGGTCGAATATTCGATCGTCGTTCTCGGAATACATCATGCATGGAGCTGAAAATTTGTGGTTTGTTTTTCCAATAGGCACTATCGACATGCCGTACGAATCGGAGGGGGGTCGGGGGAAAAAGTGTGCGGTCTGACACGGAATCACCCCATTGACTTCGACTTCGAAAAACCTATTCCGACGTTTATTTACATTACATTTACATTTATATATCAGGTTGTAAAGGTGAAATTTAGACATTTCGATTTTTTCTAGAAAAATCTGGAAAATGTTAGTGTTTTTCACTTCAGTTAGACAATTTTTCACTTGACTAAGACACCGATGCGAGGGGTATTCAGAGAGGAGGCGAGGGCGCTGGTGCCCCTGGTGACTAGCGACATCTTTCTTTCCTTCGAATATTTAGGCTTTTTCATATGAATGAAACTATGTACTGGAAACGATGAACCGCATGCATAGCCATGTTGTCAACGGGAGACCGTCCTTACAATCTATTTAAATAAAAAGGCTCCAAGTTTTCAATTTCCCATCGGCTCAACGATGTAGAAACACTGGATCGGACTTCGATGGACAATCCCAGATCCACGTTAGATAGGCCTAATCTAGCCTACGTGAGGTCTGCGTGGGGTATGATATTTCAGAACCCAGGAACGATGCCCAAAACTTCATCTGTTTTATTGAAATATTAGGAAAACAGTAATGGGTGACACGAAAGCCTAGTTTTTCACTACGACATTAAATTATCATTTCAATATATTGTGTATTAAGGAAGGTTCATATTGGTTTTCCTCTCTTCATTATCGTTGTCGCCAATGTCATCACGACATCTGCACTTAAGTATGGAACTCCTAGTTTCTGCGTCGATCCGCTATATCACCCTCACCATGCACCGTTGTCGAAGTCAAGTGAAAAACACTGTAGAACTTTCTATGTAGGTGTATAAGTAGAGTGATCAGTGGGCATTGTGGGCGTGAGTGCTTATCGTGAACCTACAACAGATACATTGACGCAAGACTGCACTCTAGTCGTTGTTGAGTTAATTGTCAATAAATTGTTTTCTGGAAAATGTCTAAATTTCACCTTTACAACCTGATATGTATATTTAGGCACCTTTATTTACACTCGACTGAGAGAAAGAAAAGATTCAGAGAGAGAAGAAACGCCAGGAAGCGGCGAAGAGAAGGAAGAGGTAAGGAAGCAGGGACGGGGCGATCGCGGGGCCGGCTGCGTTGCAGAGATCCGTCTTGCACGCGCATGCCTGCCAGTCGGAGGAGATCTTCCTCCCATCGGGCAGCGTGGGTGTGTTCATGCACTCTTCCTTTCTCCAGGGGAAACAGCTGGCTATCTGCACTTCACCTAAAGGTTCCACCGATATTAGCGATTTCTAAAATTTCTCAAATAGGGACGGCTGAAGATATTTGTGCTTAAATATATGCGTCTCATCCAGCTCTTTGCAAATGGAGTGTATTAATTACGTGTTTCACTTCCGTTTCGGAGGATGTAGGTTTCCAAATTTCAACAAAATTCTCTGAAAGAAGGCCAAAACGATAACTCCTTATCCATGGGATATATTCAATATCTTCGGAAAAGAAACCGGGAAAATTTTTTCATGATGAATCTCACGAGCAGAAAAGTCCTATTTGCCACAATAAAGGCCGTCGAGCTTTCCCTTTTAGTGACAGCTGGCGTTACGCGAGCTGGGTCAGAGCTCCTATGGTTTCGTGAGAGGACTAGCTCCATAAATAAACAAAAAAACTCTCCTGGGGATGCGAAAGAGACATGGATTCCACGGATTTGGAAAAATGAAAGAAGTTAAGCACGATCTGCAGGGAGATCATTATTCCGAAAGAACGGAAAATGTCATCGAGGTTTAGAAATTGCTTTCAAGTCTCACCCTTGGAATTGCGGACGCTCCAACAGTGCATCTCGACCACTGGAACCTCGGGGCAATTTCGAGACTTGCCTTCTTTGCATTCGTCGGCACTATTGCATTGGTAGCAATTTAAAGCACTCCCAAACCCTGCAGAGGAAAAGGTGTTGCAGTGGCAAGAGGGAGTCGGACGATCGGAAGGAATCTGTGAGGGATTCCGATACACTCACCGACGAGGGAGAGAAGGCTGAGGAGTACGAAGGCGGAGGTCATGGTTTTAAACCTGCAAAGATTCGATGGAAGGCATCGATGAAATATATGTTTGGGATGGTTGGAAAATTCGAAAAATAAAGATATTCGCCAACGTTTCGCCACGACACGCACATCTTCCCACCGACGATGCACTCAACCAACTAGGTCTCGCTTAGTCGAGTATTGCGACACGTGTCAGTCGTTCTTATTATTAGAAGCAACACCGAAGGGAATTCTTTACATCTAAAGAGTTTATAGTGACGTATGACTCCACCCTAAATCCTCTCAATGAAGCAATCCATTCACCACGAAACATTTCAATGACGAATACACATGCATAACGTCCTCCGGATGTTTACATGACTGGATTTTTTACAGAAAATTTCCTTGGCTTCTCATCCGATTTTCGCCTCCGATAGCTCATTCGAAATTATTTTTTATTTATTGGCCATGTATGAGGATCACACTGAAATTTTCCAGATGCGGTCTTCTTATGCCTCCTCTGAGTTTGAATTGTTCTCCAAATTAGGAAAATTAGTATAAGCCTATGCAAAACTTTCAGAATTCAGCGTTGCCTTGAAGAGGTTCTATAGTGTTGTATACTTCTCGTGTTAAGGGATTCTTTCAATTGGAGATGAATTTGTCACGTAAACAATTCCGAGCGATGATTCCCTACGACTTCAAAAGTGGACTCTGTCCAAAGGAGAGTCTCGAACGCCTGCAACAGGCCTTTGGAGAGGAAGCACCATCTCGTGATACGATCTTTGAGTGGTTCGCAGTTTCGGAGGGGAAGGGTGTCCTCGAAGGATGAGCCTCGCTGTGGCCGGCCATCGACAGCAGCGACGGACGAAAATGTAGTCATTGCACGGAAGATGGTCGAAGAGGACGATCGAATCACGCATGAGGACATTCAAGCACTACTTGGGATCGGGTCGGCAACAACGAATGACATCCTGCACAGACATCTTGGTCTGAGGAAGATCACCAGCCGATGGGTCCCTCATCAACTCACCCCGAGTCAGAAGGCGGCCAGGGTGGAATGGTGTCCATTCGTGCTCCAGAAGTTCGGCTCCGGGTCTTCAAAAGCCATCAATGACATCATCACGGAAGATGAATCCTGGATATATCGATTTGACTTCGAGGCAAAGCGCCGATCCACTGTCTGGCTCTTCCCTCGTGAACCGACTCCAACCGAGGTCGAGTGCCCCAGGCGCGTGGGAAGGCAACTGGAGGCTAGTTTCTTCTCTTTCACCGATCGAGTAGCCACCATACCTCTTCAGGGTGAAAAGACTGACCTGGAAGCGGTACGTAGAATCCTGCCTCCCAAAGGTGTTGGAATCTTTGAATACCACGTAATCGAAGGCCCGAATCACCCTTGAAATCGTGGATACTCCACGATGACAACGCGTGGGGTCGCACAGCCGCCCTCACATCGGATTTCCTGCTCGAGTCGGGGGTCCCCCATCGGGGTGCTCCCACATACCCCCTATAGTCCAGACCTGGCCCCGTGTCACTTCTTTCTCTTCCCTCGAGTTAAAGAATCGCTTCGTGGACGACGTTTTCGGTCTTCAGAAAAAGCAGTAGTTGAATTTGTTCCAGTTACCTCGGGTATCCCAACATCCGAGCGAAGAAATGCTTCGAAAAGGTGTAACGATCGAGTGACACCCAGCAGTTTTCAGTCGTCCGTATCCGGAAACTTTCAGTGTCCCTCGTATAAAGCATGCTGATAATTTTTCGCCGTTTAGTTTGGATCAGACTCAGGTGAATTTAAGAATTATATAGCAACGTTTTGAGCAATGTATATCATTTATTAGCCTTTGCTTTGCTTTGCTAGGTCGAATTCGTTCATTTAAATATGTCGAAATTCAACCCCGCTACATTAACCGAAACGACAGCAGACGACGATTTTCTTTCGACCGACAACGGTCGAAAGGACGGATACCAACCGGAGGAAAAACGTGGAAGCCCACTTCGTTCGAACGAATGAAAGCAGAGGAATTTACAGTTAAATTAAGTACATTCCCATCCGGTCTTCTGTCTATCTATCTAAGTCGTAAATATCGGCGCCCAGAAATTTTGGAACGGAGTTGGACGACGGAGCAGGAAGTTCCCGTCGAACCAGATCCAAAAATTAGACGAAAGAAGATATAAAGTCCGGGTGAGTTCCACGAATGATTCGCGTTCAAAAATCAAAGAGCAGCATGGCTCACGTTCGCGACGATGCCACGGTGTTTCACCTCGGTCCCAAGACGTTTTGGTTTACACTCTTTCCCCCCCCCCCTCCCCTATAGTGGAGGAAGAAGGGAGCACAACTTCAAGAGGATCCGCTTCATCAGATGATTCACAGTTGCGTGCCCACAATTGATTGATCCACAATTTCCCAATTGACATATGAAAAACTGATAACCCGCCCTGCATTATGGACAAAAAAAATGTTTAGAGAATTAACCTGTAAAATGTATCCCGGGGGGGGGGGGGTTATGACCCCCAACCCCCCCCCCCCCCCCCCCCCCCCCCCCCCCCCCCCTTGGGCACATCACAGGATGTGCACATAACTACTCCGGGAAGATGCGACCTGTAATCGATGGTAGCGCTCCTCTGGGGGGAGAGTGGGGTTCAAATTCAATTCGAAAAGAGTGTACGTCTGCCTCTAAATCTTGGTCTATGACGCAAACTGACGCAAGTCGACAACGAGAAATCGTGAGCGATTTGAGAAAAGACGTCTTCTAATCAATCCACATCCGGTTGGAAAAGTGAAGATCATCAGCTAAACACAAAATTTTTACAATCACTTTCTTCCAGTTTTATTTTCATCTTTCGCTAATTGAATCGATTATGCGCTATCGAGGTAAAATTTTATTTTATAATAATTTATTTTCGGGTATAAAACGGCTGAGAATATCGATATGATGAAAAATTTATGTTTCCTACGAACACGCAGTCGCGTATAGGACCTGCATCATCATCGTGTCTCGCCTCGTCGATTACGATGCAGGTGCGTTAGTTCCAAAAAATGAGAAGAAAAGAAAGACTCGCACGAGACCCGTTGCAGCATGCGGTTGCAATACGATAAAATCCTCGCGCTGTTACGAGATGAATGATGAACTCGTAGATCGACTTTCGTGCAATATAAAGAAAATTTTGCATGAGAAATACGGGGCCATTTTTCCTCGCCCTAAATGAGGGATTTGCGGGACCTTTCCTATTTATTTTCGGCAGTGTTGTTTATCGTCTTTCGAACGGTACGACGCGGTTTCTTATTCTCGAACGAACTCCACGAGTCCTGCGAGAATGATATACTATACATATTATTGCGTATCGTCATCGTCGCGATCTTCGACGTGCGTTTCCGCCCGATGGCCCCGAGGAAGGCCGAGGTGCCTCGCGATCGCGACGCGACGGAATTCCAGAGCGAGGAGCGGTTCGTACTCGGGGAGAGTGGGAGATTCGGACCGTGGACTTCGACGGGAGATGGCGAATGGAGGTCTCGCACGCGATGCACGAGCTCCATTTTTGGATCCACCCAGTGCCGTCACGAGACCGGACGGATCCGTTTTCGTGTCGCTTCGTGCCTCGGAAGGACCTCGGCGCACGGAAGGACCACACCTCCACGCTCGTCTCGTTTCGTTTCCCCCCGGACCCGCTCGGGACGCATATTTTAAAACCCTACTCGCGTTCGAACACTGGGACCGGAACAGCCGATCAAACTCCACCATGACGTCATGGTGGGAACATGTCGACCCCCGTAGCCGCTGCAAGTTCAAGCGAACCGGGCACAACTCACGAATAAACAGGTCGCTAAACATTTAGCCGAGTTCGAAAAGAATACAGGCCCATGGTTTTCTCACTTAACCTGGTCAACTCAACGCGGGCCAACCTTCTCCTAACTGCCACCACCACGACACCAGGCCTATGCAACATAGGAAGATATTGGTTATGCGATGGCATACGAAGAGATGAGAAGTAAGGCCTAGGTTTCGTTTAGCTTTGTGAGCAAGTCATATTTTTTTATGAAGCATCAGGAGGTTGAAGGTAATGCAAGTGAGGAATGTGAACCTTGGTACTGGTTTGCAGCGATTACATTTTCAATGATAATATACATTTGGTAACTTCGCATAAATCAGATGTCTAATGCCTTCACCCCATATCTCGAAGGACTGAAATACATTTTCAGAGCGAAAATATTTTAAATCTCGTAATTTACCGGTGTCAAAAAGCACATAGTAGACTTTGTCAGGCGGATGTACCAGAATGCATGGGAAATGGGTTGCTCTCAGGTCATTGAATAGCACTCACCAGCTCGGTCTGGTTATTTTAGCATTCATCGGTCACCGTGTTCTGGCAAAACTATATTTTGGAGTTGCTTGCCTTAATGTATCCTTTTTCTTTGATGTCCAATAAGTGCTGCATGAATGAGCACGAAGATGCTTCCTTGCCAATGTCCCAGGGTTAGCACTTTATCACATCCAGGCTCTTCATATTTTTTCCTAAAGGTTCCAATTACACCCAAGTGCCATCATCTTCTCCCCTTAAACCTAACCCTAGATAAAACCAAACTATTCTAAACTTTAATTAGATGGCAGATACTTAAGTTGATTGTGAAGCCTTTTGAAAGGGTAAATTCAGCTATTTAGCTGCTTTTTAGTGAACAACTCATGTATGAAATGGATTGTCTTGCTAATTTTTTTAATTTTCTGTAACCAGGGCAAATATGGGAGTGAAATTCAAAGAATATCTCTCATTCGTCCAAAGGTGGGTTGGGAAAAGGAAAACTCCTCATGAAATTGTTGATGGAAGTTAAAATAAAATAACGATCCCTTGCGGCTCATGCGGGTAAAAATGTGTCTCATGCGAGTCATATGGTGCAGGACATGAATGGATAACCTTACGCATGAATCCAGGCATTCTTTGCATTGTCTTCCCCACACTGTTTTAGAATGCAGTATATATGCAAACTGAAGCTCCACATCATGTTTCTCGGTCACGAAAGGCATGTTCTTCCTCAGACATATTTAGTGTTCATCATTGACATTTTTCCCTGCCTATTCCTAATCATTCTTGG